CCCACTTAGGGCAGTGGGTCTCATGTTTCCTTCCTCCCTCTGTTGCCGCCTTTGATCTCTCTATTCCAACCCACTGGTACCAGGCTGTCTTCTCAAATTCATTTCATACTGATTTAGCTGAGTGTTTGTATAGCAGGGATTCTCAACTTAGGAGCACGTTGGAATTACCTGGGAAGCTTTAAAAAAAGATGGCTACCCACACAGGCTCTGATTTGTTTGGGGTGTAGCATGGACATTGGGGTTTTTAAAGGAGCTCCAGTGATTTGCTGTGCTCTCCCGGAGGAGAACCGTGGCCCGGATGTATACGCATGTCACCGGGGACCTCGCCACAAAGCAGATTCTGAGTCAGTAGGTCTGGGGTTAGGGTCTGCGATTCTGTACTTCTAACAAACTCTCAGTCCTGCACATTTTGCCGGCCCTGCGAACTTCGAGTAGACAGGGCTTGGGAAGCATGACACAATTATTCCGTTGCCCAGTAACATCCGAGGGGTCCTGCGAGTCACACACTAAGACTCTCAGCCTCGCATCCTCGGCTGGCATCAGCTATTTAAGATCCTCCCACAGCAGCGGTTCTCAGATACCACTCATTCTCTGACTGGCCTGGTGTGCAGCCTGCACAACGGGGATTTTTACACTTTCCAAGTGGTGTACACAACCAATAAGATTTAGGAGCCACAATATGCTGCAATCTACTTTTTCTTTTTTCCCTAATATACTTTTACATGTTCATTTCCTATTCATCCAATCAGCAAACATTTATTTATTTTATTTTTCTAAAGATATTTTTATTGATTTCAGAGAGGAAGGGAGAGGAAGAGATATAAACAGCAATGATGAGAGAGAATCATTGATTGGCTGCCTCCTGCACGTCCCACACTGGAGATTGAACCCATATACTAGGCATGTGCCCTGACTGGGAATCGAACTGTGACCTCCTGGTACATAGGTCGATGCTCAACCACTGAGCCATGCCGGCCGGGCTCAGCAAACATTTACTGAGCCTGCCTCATGCCAGGTACAAGGGAAAGAAAGATGAAAACAGTGCAGTCCTTACTCTTGAAGGTTTGGCAGACAAATGACCAAAATAAGACTATTGAGTATACCCAGGACCCAGCATAAAGGCGCCTCCTCCACTCCAGGTCTTCTGCTTATTTGGTGTCTCGCCCGTCACCGCCCCTCGCTGCCTGTGCTGATGCACCTGACACCCTCTTTACTGCATTTGAGTCTCTAGACTTATGTTTGGTCATCTCTTCAAATTTACTTTCCTTGGTGTTAAAATAGATCCAAAGAGACATAACAACAAAGAGCGCATACATGGGGATTTCCCCGTGCCAGCCCTGTGAGCCTTCCACGTGCACAGGGTGTGAAATTCTCACGCTAACCTTAGGAGAGAGCTTTCATTACTATGCCTGCTCTCTGGATGAGGAAACAGAGGCGCAAAATAGGTAACTTGATCAAAGACACACATTCAGGCATCAAGTCGGGCTTTCTCTGAGGTCTTATGCTTTGCTACCAACTCTGTGACAGGGCTGCCAGGAGAAATGACTCCCAGGGTCCAAGCCGAGCACTTCTCTGGGAATTAGTGACTGTGTGCTGCTGCACGCGTAGACTCAGCATGAGGGCGGGGCTATGTCCTGCACCTCCGCAGTGCCCAGTAGGGATGCAAGCACACAGTAGGTGTGCAACAGCCATGTACTGGACGGCCATCTCACCCGGGAGAGGCAGGTGACGGACAGTTATCCAAACAGACAATGAGCACACCAGCAGGAGCAGCAGCTGCAGGCCTCGAGTCACCACCAAGTCCACTCCATCACCCCCACGCCACCAGCCCCGCCCGCCCGCCCCACCCGCAGCCGGCCTTCCCCGCAGGGAGCCCTCGTCCCCTCCAGGTGCCCAGGCCGCGGCGCCTCTGCGCTCCGTCCTCCCGGCCGCGAGGTGCCCCCAGACCCCGCTCCTCCGCCGGAGCCTCCGTCCCTCTTCCCGCGGCTTCTGCTTCCGGGACCGGCGGGACGCAGCGTAGCCCCGCGGGGTCCCCGTCGCCGGCCAGGTAACGCGGCCGCGGGCTCGGGACGGGGCGCCGCCGGCGGGGAGGCAGGCAGCGGCCTGGGCTCCGAAAGAGGCGCCTCCTCCGCCCTGGGCGCCCGCGGCGGTGGGGGGTGGGGGGTCGAGGCCTGGCATGGGCGCCGGGGCGCCGGGGCGCGGGGCGGGGGGCGGGGGAGGGGTCGGTCGGGGGAGGCGTCTGCACACTCGCCGGTGCCCGCCCAGCGCCCTCCGCCCGGATCGGCCCGCGGGCGCGGGAGCTGGGTCTGGACCGACCTCCTGATCGCTCCCGCTTCCCGGGGAAAGCTGCACCCGAGGGGCTGCTTAGGACAGAGTGTGGCTGCCATTTGCACGGCCTGTTCTTTCACTGGGGTTTGCTCCCGCTGCTTCGCCAGGGATTAGGGTTCAGGGAGGAGGACCCTAAAAATAAACCGGCGGCTACGCGGCGCTGAGCCCGAGCCTGCGCGCGGACAGGAGAGAACATCGCCCCCCTCCCCCCTCCCCTCTCCCCTCCCCCCTCCGAGGAGGCGCCCAGTTCAGCTCAGACTGGACCGAATTGGAGACACACTTCTCTCTCTGCTTAACGTCCATTTAAAAATGTCAATTACATCTGACGTTCACTATTATTATCTAGGGTGTCCCCAGAAACTATACACACTCATTTCCGTAGATTCTTTTAAACTGTGAAAATGAACTGTATGTTATAATCATTCCAAGTGTCTACCTTTTGGGGGGACACCTGTGTTGTTTGAGGTGTACAGTGTAGTGTTCAGACAGCCACAATATCTGCAGAGTGACCCCGGCAAGGCTAGGACGCAGCTGGCACCATGATTGCTGTGCTCCCTGTGCTGTGCTCTCCATCCCTGTGATTATTTTGTAACTACCAGTTTGTACTTCTCAATCCCTTCACTTTTTTCACCCAACCCACCAACACTTTCCCTCTGCCACCCGTGTCTTTGTGTCCGTTTGTTTTGTTGTTGTTTATTGTGTTCCTTAGATTCCACATATAAGTGAAATCATGTGATATTTCACTCTCACCGCCCGCCCCCCGCCCCCCCAACTGAGGCTCAAGAGAGACTTGCCCACACACTCTTATTGGCTACTTACAGAGAGACCGAATTGGAACTCAAGTCTATGATTGACACCTACTGTTTTCTTGAATAGAAATCTGATGGTAGACGAAAGCTGTACGGAATGAAGCTTTCTCTGGAAGGCATTCTTGGGAGTGACATGTGTATTGAAGTGTGTTGGTCCACAGATACTATTTCACTTGTCAGAGTAGAATGAAGCAGTAAGTGTAGCCATGCAGAGAATTCCTGCTAGAGGAGACAGATATATGAAATGTTTTTGACATTTTTACTTGTACTTTAATAGAGGAGCTAAACCTATATAATAAAAGGCTAATATGCAAATTGTCCCCTCAGGAGTTCGACCAACTGGGAGTTTGACTGCTCGCTATGATGTGTGCTGACCACCAGGGGGCGGCGCAGAATGAAGGAAGGCCCCGATCGGCCCCGATCGCCGGCCAGACCTAGGGACCCTACCTGTGCATGAAATTCATGCACCAGGCCTCTAGTGAATGTTAATAACACTTTGGTTATTTTTAGAGTTTAGTCCTGTATGACTTAATTGACTCATTTACAGTCCTTCTTGTCCTGATATGTTTCTCACAGTGAAAATTCCGAACAATGGGTTTCTGTTCCATTTTTAGTAAAATAAATAGTGGCCCGGTGCATAAAATTCGTGCGGGGGGGGGGGTGTCCCTCAGCCCGGCCTGCACCCTCTCCAATCTGGGACCCCTGGAAGGATGTCCTACTGCCAGTTTACAAGGATGGGGCCTAAACTGGCAGTCAGACATCCCTCTCACAATCCGGGACTGCTGGCTCCTAACCGCTCACCTGCCTGCCGGCCTGCTCACCCCCAACTGTCCCCTGCTGCCAGCCTGCTTGCCCCCAAATGCCCCCCTGCCAGCCTGATCACCCCCAACTGCCCCCCTGCTGGCCTGCTCACTCCAAACTGCCCTCCCCACAGTCCTGATCACCCCAACTGACCCCCCACTTATTGCCTGCTTGCCCCCAACGGGCCCCCCTGCTGGTCTGCTCACTCCTAATTGCTGCCTCCCCCCCCCCCTCCCCCCGCTGGCCTGATCACCCACAACTGCCCTCCCCTCTTGGTCTCTAACCGCCTCTAGCTCAGCCCTGCCACCATGGCTTTGTCCAGAAGAATGCCCAGAAGGTCTCCCAGTCTAATTAGCATATTACCCTTTTATTAGTATAGATAGAGGCCTGGAGCATGGGTGGGAGCCGGCTGGTTTGCCCTGAAGGGTGTCCTGGATCAGGGTGGGGGTTCCCTTGGGGCATGCGGCAGCCTGGGCAAGGGCCCTGTGGTGGTTTGCAGGCCGGCCACGCCTACATGGGGTGAGGGTCCCTGCTGGGGGGCATGGCCAGCCTGGGTGAGGGGCTCAGGGCTGTTTTCAAGCTGGCCACACCCCCTTCAGGGTGGAGGTCCATGCTGGGGTGGCTGGCCAGCCTGGGTGAGGGGCTGATGGCTGTTTGCAGGCTGGCCATGCCCCCCAGCAGGGACCCTCAACCCCATGGGACATGGCCAGCCTGGGTGAGGGACTGAGGGCTGTTTTCAGGCTGGCCATACCTCCTTCAGGGTGGGGGTCCTTGATGGGGTGCCTGACCAGCTTGTGTGAGGGGATGATGGCTGTTTGCAGGCTGTCCACACCCCCCCAGCAGGGACTCTTACTCCATGGGAGTGTGGCCAGCCTGGGTAAGGGGCTGAGGGCTGTTTGCAGGTTGGCCAGGCCCCCCAGCGAGTACTCTTACTCCATGGGGGTGTGGCCAGCCTAGGTAAGGAGCTGAGGGCCATTTTTAGGCTGGCCATGCCCCCCCAACCCCCCCCGACCCAGGCTCCCAGCCCCTCCATGAGAGGAGGCCAGCCCCTCCTATTTTTTTCCAGCCCCTCCCTGAGCGGCAGCCAGGGCGGGCAGGAAGCTTGTCTTCCTCCATCGCCAGGGACAACCCAAGCCTCCAGCTTCATGGCCGATGCCATCTTTATTGGGTTAATTTGCATACTCAACCTGATTGGCTGGTGGGCATAGCGGGCCAGCGCACGCACTCCAGTGGGCCAGCGCACGCACTCCATGGTGACACGGGGGACGCTCCTACCCTGACCTAGGCTCCCTGGCATCCATGCGCACCACCCTGCCCCTGTCTCCCTAGTGCCTGTGCATGCACCAGCAGCTGCAGGGCTGAAACTTCCCCCGCATCGCCATGGCAACATGGGGGAAGTACCTGCCCCATACCTGGCTGCCCAGTGCCTGTGTGTGCAAATTAGCCCTCCATCTTTGTCAGGTTAATTTGCATACTCTCTCTGATTGGCTGGTGAGTGTAGTGGAGGGACAGTTAATTTGCATGTTTCTCTTTTATTATATAGGATTGTTGTAAAGATATATATTTTTAAAGATATTTTTATATCTCCACAAAATCTTCCCAATTGTACCTCAAAACCTTGCTTCCCTCTTTGATTGGATTTCAGAATGGAATAGACCTAGAATTTTTTCCCCCTCACCAAAATACCTGCACTCTGTTTAGTCCTTTATTTAGGGTTACCTCAGGTTTCCATTTGGACTGATAAACTTGTAACCCACATCCACATTTCAGTTGAGTTTAGTATCAGCGTAAAACCACTTTAAACTGCCATGTGTCATGTGAGCTCTTGCAGAGACCACAAGTGGTGGGGGTGTGTTTCCATAAGAGCTTCTTGTTGGGATTTTTGAGATGTGAACACATTTTCTAATACATGTCTTATATTACATACTAGAGGCCTGGTGCATGGGATTTGTGCACTGGTGGGGCTGTGGCCTGTGGGGATCAGCCTGCTGTGGGAGCACTGAACAGTCAGCTGAGCAGCTGTGGACCCTGGTCTGGCATTTTCTGGGAGCTGGAGGACTCGCCTCTGCAGGGGACCTGGTCAGGGGTGGGCCCAGGGACAATAGCACTGAGAGGCGACCATGAACCCACCTCCCAGCCTCCAGGGTCAGCTCTATGAGCCCAGCAGCAGCGGCGCTGCACGGCCTGCGGGCGTCCAGAGGAGGCAGCAGGGAGCAAGAAGCAGAAGCCTGGGGTGAGGAAGCAACGTCCGCAACGCAGGTTCCTGCCTGTCAGCCCAGGGTTCACAGAGGGAGCAGCCGCTCATCCCAGTCAGCCAAGCAGCGCTCCCACAGTGGTAGCGCACTGACCACCAGGGGGCAGCTCCTGCCTTAAACATCTGCCCCCTGGTGGTCAGTGTGTATCATAGTGACTGGTCAACCGGTCATTCTGGTCGTTCCACTGTTCGGTCACTGGGCTTTTATTATATAGGATATTATGCAATGTTATTGTCCAAGGTCAGTCATCACTGGGAGGTTACTTCTGACATTTACTGATTGTAACAGTGTGTTACAGTAGACAGTCTGCTAACTTACAACGCAGTTCCTGGTGTTCTGTCTACAGCTTTTACCAGTTGCCAACATGTTATCTTTTAAAATATTTTTTATTGATTTCAGAGAGGAAGGGAGAGAGAGAGAGAGAGAGATCGAAACATCAGTGATGAGAGAGAATCATTAATGGGCTGCCTCCTGCATGCCCCCAACTGGGGATCAAACCCACAACCTAGGCATGTGCCCCCCGACCGGGAATCAAACCATGACCTCCTGGTTCACAGGTTGATGCTCAACCACTGAACCACACCTGCCAGGCCCAATATGTTATCTTTGAGGAACATAGAGTCAGAAATCCAGCCACACTTAAATAGGAGATGCTTGGATGTGTATATAAGGAAGCAGGGCTCCCATGAAGGCAGTATCTTTATACTATGCTATCGTAGAAATGACAATTATACTCAAGTGAGCCCAGTGCTGTTTTCTTAGGTGCATCCTTTGTGTTTCTGGTGTCGGTCTCTTCATCAGAGGATGGCATTAGCCCTGTGTCTGCAGGTGCTGGGCAGCCTGGGAGGCTGGCTCTCCCTCTACATTTCTTGCTGCCACATGAATAAGCACCGAAGCTACGAATGGAGCTGCCGGCTGGTCACACTCGCCCATGGAGTCCTCGCGATAGGCCTCTCAGCGTACATTGGCTTCATTGATGGCCCCTGGCCTTTCACCTACCCAGGTAGGTGGGAGACAGGGTTTTTCCCTCAGGGATGTATAATCTGGGGGTAGTCTTAGAAGGTTAGGACTTTTTCCCCAGAGAATTTCTATAATATAAAAGAATATTGAAAATAATTTCCATTATCATTTCTATTGGGAGTCTTCATTGTTAGCTGTGATATTGTATGTCATCTATTGTTTCTGCTTTTCATAACTCTCTATTTTAAAACACACTTAAAATGTGCCCATTAATGATAAAATGCTTGTTATAATGTAATCCATCAAAATGTACAAAACAAGAAGCCAGTATCAACATCTTCCAACCACCCCCAAAACAGACACAAATGGGCAGTATTATACATACTTATTGGTAACCTGCAATTTTTACTTGATTGTATATTCAAAAGATATCATCTTTCCATGTATATGGGCATAGAGCTTCCTTTTTCTTTTTAATTATTACACTAGTGGCCCAGTGCACAAAATTTGTGCGCATTAAAAGGGAATGAATTAGAGGAAATATTTTAATATAGCTATTTGCCCTTTCTCTATAATAGAAGTTTCAGAGATGAAAATTAGTAAAAAAGTGTCAGAGATGAAAGAAAATTATGAAAATCTTCCTCCTGTCAGAGTTGGGGGCACGCTGCAGGACCTAGAGTCAAGTCCCTGCTCACCCGTGTGCACCTCTAAATCACGCAAGACCCAGACCTGGCCGGCCCCACCCATTGGGTGAAATCCAAACCCGGCTGGCCCCACCCCCATTAAGCCCCACCAGGTGGGGGTCGCAGCCTCGGGTCCCTTGGCCCGATGCCAGGTGGGAGGAGCAGCCTCAGGTCCCCCGGCGCACCCTCAGGTCCCCTGGTCTGGCATTGGGGTCCCCCTTCAAGCCCTGCCAGGCAGGGGGCATGGCCTGAGGTCCCCTGTCAAGCCCCATTGGGTGGGGGGGGGGGTTGTGGCCTGAGGTCCCCCATCAAGCCCCACTGGGCGAGGGGCGCAGCCTCAGGTCCCTGCTGATCTCTCGTTTACGGGAACCCCGCCTCCACTGTGGGTGCATCCATCTTGTGATGGTGTGTGACAGAGTGAGGGTCAATTTGCATATTACCTTTTTATTATATAGGATAATATTGTGCTCCATGCATTTACCATCATTTATATAGCCAGTGCCTTATGATTTGGGGCAGCTATATTTTTCAGCTGCTAGCTGTATAAGTGTTACTTTCTTAGAATACAAAAATCATATCCCCTTGTATGAGTTTGCTGGGGCTGCCATAACTTAAACAACAGGAGTTTATTTTTTTCACAGTTTTAGAGGATAGAAATCCAAGATGAAGGTGTTGGCTGGTTTGGTTTCTTCTGAGGCTTCTCTCCTTTGCAGATGGCTGCCTTCTTGCTATGCCCTCTCATGGGCTTCCCTTTTTTGTGGGTGTTTGTGTCCTCATCTCTGGGTTTTGTAAGGTCAGCCATCACACTGGGTCAGGGCCACCACATGCCCTGCTTTAATTTAATCGCCTCTTTAAAGGCCCGTCTCCCACTCTGAGGTCCGGGGTCAGGGCGTCAGTATATGAATTTTGGGGTGACATAATTTGGTCCATACGTCCCCTAGAATAACATTTTTAAAAACACCTTAGGCCAGGGGTGGGCAAACTTTTTGACTCGAAGGCCACAATGGGTTCTTAAACTGGACCGGAGGGCCGGAACAAAAGCATGGATGGAGTGTTTGTGTGAACTAATATAAATTCAAAGTAAACATCATTACATAAAAGGGTACGGTCTTGTTTTTTTTTAGTTTTACTCGTTTTAAACGGGCCGGATCCGGCCCGCGGGCCGTAGTTTGCCCACGGCTGCCTTAGACTGATAAACTTGTAACCCACATCTCAGGTCCCCCGGCGCACCCTCAGGTCCCCTGGTCTGGCACTGGGGCGAGGGTCAGAAAATCTAATTTTCTTAGATTTCTATAGTGAACTTCAGAGTTTCCTTCCAAACTGTCAAACTGATATGAAAGCAACTTTTAAGCTTTGTGTTGTCTCCATGAAGGTTCTTAATGGATTTGAACATGTCAGATCCTTGCACCCTGTGTTCTTGGATGTGGAACACACTCATTTCTGGGGTTCTTTCCAAAGTCCACTTTTTAAAAAAATATATATGTTATTGATTTTTTACAGAGAGGAAGGGAGAGGGATAGAGAGTTAGAAACATCGATGAGAGAGAAACATCAAACAGCTGCCTCCTGCACACGCCCCCACTGGGGATGTGCCCGCAACCAAGGTCATGCCCTTGACCGGAATCGAACCCGGGACCTTTCAGTCCGCAGGCCGAGGCTCTATCCACTGAGCCAAACCCGTTAGGCCCAAAGTCCACTTTTAAGATGGGTTAGGGTCACAGTGTCCAGCACTCTAACTCAGTACATTATGAAATTTATATGACATTCAGGACAGCGTAATTAAAAGCTTTGGAAACAGAATTTTAGCTGGAAAAAAAAAAGGAAAGAAAGAAAAGAAATTGTGTAGGATTTTAATTGAAAGAACAAAATAACTTGATTTTATGCTGCTACATAGAGAGGATACTGAAATCATTACTGGTGCCTAAACCACTTACTGAGAGAGATCTGATTCATCAGATCAGCATTTCTGGGGCCTGGAACATTGTTTGGTTTGATAAAGACCAAGTTTTCAGATTTTAGTCTTTTTTAGGTTATCATTTTAAAAGCATGTAATTACCATTGTCTTTTTAAATATTTTTTTAAAATATATTTTTATTGATTTCAGAGAAGGGAGAGGGAGAGACTGAAACATCGATGTTGAGAGAGAATCACTGATGGGCTGCCTCCTGCACACCCCCCACTGGGAATCGAGCCCGCAACCCAAGCATGTGCCCTTGACCAGAATCAAACCCCAGACTCAGTCTGCAGGCCGACGCTCTATCCACTGAGCCAAACCGGCCAGGGCACTATTATTTTTTATTTCAATATTTTAAAAAGGATTGAGAGACAGTAACCTAGGGTCCCTGTGTGAGGCAGCACAATCCCCAGTCGCTCAATTTGTTTCTGTCTTGGTCTATTTCAGGCTCACCCAATACACCTCTGCAAGTGCGCGTCCTGTGTCTCACCTTGGGCTACTTTATCTTCGACTTGGGCTGGTGCATCTACTTCCAGTCTGAGGGTGCCCTGATGCTGGCACACCACACTCTGAGCATCCTGGGCATCACCATGGCCCTGGTGCTGGGAGAGTCGGGGACAGAGGTCAATGCAGTCCTCTTTGGAAGTGAGATTACCAACCCCTTGCTGCAGCTGCGCTGGTTCCTCCGAGAAACGGGGCACTACCACAGCTTCACGGGCGACGTGGCGGACGTCCTCTTCGTGGCCCTGTTCACTGGAGTGAGGATCGGCTTAGGAGCTCGCCTCCTTTTCTGTGAAATGGTCTCACCCAAGCCCAGGTGGTTTATGAAGGCAGGGGGCATAGCCATGTACGCTGTGTCCTGGTGTTTCATGTTAAGCATCTGGCGCTTCGCCTGGAGGAAAAGCATCAAGAAGTACCATGCCTGGAGAGGCAGGCGGGGCGAGGAGCCGCAGCGGGCACATCCTGGGCATCTCCAGGCGCACTAGCCGACACCTACCGCGGCTGATGGGTGGGGTGTTAGCCTGGGGCCCAGGCTGGAAATAGGGCTGTTATGGAGCCATGCTTGTCTAACACATGTAGGTTTCAGAGAAAGGGCTCCCTGATCAGTCCGTGTCCAAGTGGAGCACACACCAGTACTAAACCCCTAACTCCGGCCGCGGTGCAGTCGGAGGCAGGCAGGCCGCATTCCTTCCGGTTTGTGCTGACTGTGGTCCTGCAGCTCCTGGGCAGCGGAGGTTCTTATCGCTCGGAGAGGAGCCCGGAAAAGATTGGCGCTACTTCGTCCTTATTCCTTTGAGGGGTGACTTTTTCAACAAACGCTACCCTGTTTTCCGTGTAGCAATTTAAGTAAATCCCACCATTTACTACAAAGTGAGTGCCTGTTAGGGAGACTCTTGCCTTTGGCATTCTGAGCATTGGATCAGAGAACGGCATCTACTTACTTAACCAAAGGGGGGGGCGGGGGAGGCGCGGTGAGGGGCAGAACTGTGGCTGCGGGGTGGGTTACTGGTTCAGCCTCCCTGTGCCAACGAGGTTGGGTCCCCAAGGCTACGCGTTTGGGTTTGGTATATGGTGAGAGGACTCCCTGGACCCAGCATGTAGTTGTGCTCATAGCTCTGATTCATCATAGTGCAAGGGCACAAGGAGAGAGCAGCAAGAGGAAAGGTGCCAGAGCAGACCCAGGGGAAGCCCAGGCCCACACGTCCGAGTCCTCTCCCAGTGGCCTCCTCTAGCCATGGCTTGTGACAATATGTGTGACAAGCCTGCCAAGGAAGCTCATTCGAGGCTCAGGTTTCCTTGGGCTGGCCACGCAGGCAGCCTTTGGCTGGCACGTAGCAAAGCTCCTGACTGCCAGAAGGGAAGTCGGTGCTCAGCATAAACCATGTGGCTTGTACAGTGAGCCAGGCTGGTTGGTTCATGGAGCTCTTCCCAAATCCGTGTTCCCAGATGCCCGCCAAGAGCCAGCCTTCCCAAGGACAGCAGCTCAGGCCTGCTGTGTTCACTCTTCTGCTCAGAATCCACAGAGCTGGGGCTTGGGTGAGAGATGGAGGAGGTGTGGGCAGGCTGACCCAGTCCTGCTGTATGGGTTCTGCTCTGCCAGGGAAAATGCCCCTTGTCAGGGCTTTTGTGCATTAATGTCCTGGGCATGAGCGGCTGTGATGGAATTCCACAGGATTTCCCATGTGGACGCCACTGGACTAGAGGGAGACGGCAGTTCCGACCGCAGGTCTGCTATGCTTCATGCAAACTAGAACCAAAGACCGAAGTGTGTAGTGGCCTCAGGGTAACGAGTCAAAGTTTTTCATTTTGGACACACCCCCCTTTAGTCCTGTTACTATTTTTTCTTTTCTCTGGAAAAGGCACCACCATCTGTGGACAACATATTATGACAAGGCCAGTCTCGGAAGGAACAACAACAACATGAGTGTGATATTCTCTGACCTCACCCAGGAAAAGCAAGAATGTAAACTTAGAACGAGAAGTTTGGAATCAAGAATTCCTGCTTTCTTTTACAGAATGTGGCTACTCCCTGGCCAACTCATTTGGGCAGGTCACTTATTCATTCTTTGCCTCCGTGCAAATCCTGGTGTGAATGAATGAAATACCCCATTGTGCATCTCATAGAGACATTAGGTAGCATTTCTTTAATGGAGGGCTTTTATGGGGGAAAAAAAGCATTATTTATTTATATCTTTGCTATTTGTTTGTTTGTTTGATGATGTTACTTAGATCGGTGGTGATGGGTCGGCTTTGTTGGTGGGAAAGTGTACAGGGCTAGTGAAGTCAGGGCTGAAGGCCAGTGGAAGTTTCAGCTCATCGAGGTCACTGGGAATAAGAACCTTATGAGGGTTCTTGAAAGTGTAGGTCACTGGCCGCACCAGCAGAGTGCTTGGGGCCACACAGAGTCATCATTGCTCCGTGAAATGCAGTTCAAAGGCATGTTAACAGTGCACCTTTTTAAAATGGTTGTCATTTGGTTAGAGTTTTGCTGGATGTGGAAATAATCTGACAGTAATATCTCTATCTCTTTTTTTTCTTCTGTGATCAGAACCCCTAAAATGCTGGCTAGTTTCTCTCCAACAAAATTATGGTCAAAGTCAGGTGCTGGGGAGTGCTGACTTCAGAAAAGCCTAGCAGAAAGTGGCACGGAGCGAGCTCTGGAAAGAAACGCAGCAGCTGGCTCTTAAAGTGTGGCCCCGTGCAACCCGCTCCATACCAGACCCTGAACAGGCTTCATCTGCTGCCAGTTCGTGCCCCATAACTCCTCAGAGGTGGAGGGGATGGGGATTGCGGATCTTGTTGCTTTGGGGTACTCCCGTGTGAGTGTATGTAGGTCTTTGAAATTTGAGAAACCTAAAGAATGATAAGGGAAAGAGAATCGCTCATCTCCGCTTATCTTGTTGTTGTAACTAGTAAACGTGAAGGAAACTGAGAGCTGTGAAATGAAGATGAGCACTAGTTGGGAAGCTGAGGCCACAAAGGGCTGATTGACATGCGGCACGGTCAGAGGTAACGAGTGCTCCTTCGCATCTGGATTACTGTGATAATTAACACTGCTCGAGAGGGTTTATATTTCAATATGATTTGTACTGTTTTATAAAAATAAACAACTTTTTATCCATCCAGAGTTTGCTTTATATTTTTGTTGTGGTTTTGCCAAGAGGTTTGAAAAAAAGTCCTTTGGCCTGCAGAAATGCTGACCCATGTTTATACGTTTCATGAAGTACCTCCCACCTGCTGCCTCTCATCACCCATTCCTGATATTCTTTACTTCTGGGGGCAGCAACCTATCTACAGAAAACAGTTTGGAAAAGAGGGAGGAAGAATGTAATTTCTTTGTTATGTTGCCCCATTTGAGTAGTTGCCTTGCCACAGTCTTCAGAACTGGATTCCCAATGCCCACAACAGTGCTAAGTGGTGGGTGCGCAGTAAGCATGTTGAGAGAATGGATGAGGAGAGGAGAATGTGGTTTAGAGTAAGCACCATTGTACAACCTCGGAGACCATGTGCCGGGAGCTGGGTCACCATGGTCATCTTTCTAGGTAAGGAATTAGTGACACGGGAGTGTGACGGGGCTTTCTGAAGGGATTCTATAGACCAGCGGTTCTCAACCTGTGGGTCGCGACCCCTTTGGAGGTCGAACAACCCTTTCACAGGGGTCGCCTAAGACCATTGAAAAACACATATATAATTACATATTGTTTACAGTAGCAAAATGACAGTTATGAAGTAGCAACGAAAATAATTTGATGGTTGGGGGTCACCACAACATGAGGAGCTGTGTTAAAGGGTCGCGGCGTCAGGAAGGTTGAGAACCACTGCTCTAGATGGAACATTCAGAACAGTCTAGAGTGGCGGTTCCCAGCCTTCTTTGGCCATGCCCCACCTAAGCATCTCTAAAATCCTGATGCCCCGTGACACACAATTCTCATTACTCAAAAAGTGAGCTGCTATCCATGGGGAGGAAGCCGAAAAATTAACCTGGTCTAAGCAAGCTTCCAGAGAGCATGGCGTCCATGAAAGAGAAAAACAAAAGAACGAAAGGACAGGTGAAGTCCTGAGGAAGACATCACTGAGAAATTGTTTAAAAATAGCAATATGAAGTGATATGAGAAAATAGCAAATTTTCAAAACATTTAATAAAGAACTGAAATGGACAAATAAATCACAATATATCCTTATACAGTAGGTCCTTGGGTTACGGTGGAGATCCGTTATGGCGCGATGTAACGCGATTTTCACCGTAAGTCGGAACCCACCTACAAAGCACCTATGTCACTCACATGGAGCACAGACACAGCGGTCATGAAGTGAAACAGTAAAAAAAATTTAAAAGAAAGATAATTCCTGACCTTTACTTGTGGTAAATAAATAATAAAAAACATAAAGCACATATGTACATACATTGAAATAATGTTTTGTTTGTTTGTTTTTTTATAAATAATCTAGAGGCCTGGTGCATGAAATCGTGCATGGGGGAGGGGAGTCCTTCAGCCTGGCCTGCACCCTCTCCAATCCAGGACCCCTCAGGGGATGTCCAACTGCTCCTGCAGAATCGGGTCTAAACTGGCAGTCAGACATCCCTCTTGCAATCCGGGACCACTGGCTCCTAACCGCTCACCTGCCTGCCTGCCTGATCGCCTCTGCTTTCCCCTGCTGACCTGATCACCCCTAATTGCTCTCCCCTGCCAGCCTGATTGCCCCTAACTGCCTCTGCCTCGGCCCCTGCTACCGTGGCTTTGTCCAAAAGGATGACTGGAAGATGTCCAGTCGACCCAGTCTAATTAGCATGTTACCCTTTTATTAGTATAGATGAGAGATGGCGATGTAACCACGAAACAATGTACATCGAATCTGACGTAACCAGAGAACTGACTGTATACTGTATATGAGGCCCCTAGAACCATAAGAAATGCAAATAATTCACTGTTAATAACTTATTTTCGAATTGTCCCCCTTAAAAATTAAATTGCCCCCGTGGGGCGTGTGCCCCATGTTAGGGCCCACTGGTCCAGAGCTACCAACGCCTGTAAAGAAGCTCCAGGGACCCTGTCGCCATTCGGGCGCGGTGGGTGCATACAGAGATCTGCCGTTAAAAAGAGCAGTTCTGGGATGAATGACTGGCTTAATTAAGTCCTTTGCTAACTGTCTTCTGAAACTTTCCCACAGCAAGAGCCTTCTTTGCTCACAGCTAGAACTGTGGGTCTGTTTAGCTTTGGAAAGATCTTGAAAGCAGTCTGCAAAGAGGTTTTGTATGCAAGGAAAAGGAGGTGAATCAGGAAACTTTCCCAGTTTGTTTTATTCCCGAAGCACAAGTAGTGAGGCATTCTTGAAGGAAAGAAAGGAACTCATTTTTAAAATGCATGATTTGATGAGTCATTGGGGCTACTATAAAATTATTAGGACAGGGCAAAAAAGATACATATTTAGTACGTGTACAAAAGATATAAGTTTGGAAATAAAGTTTGCATTTTGGTTATTGTATACTGATGGATGGAACTCTTTCCAGTTACAGTATGCGGAAAATAATTGTCTTCAGGACAGAACTGTTACGCTACCAGCAGGTGGCGATGTGTCCTGGTTTGATCATTCCCAAAGCGGCTTGGAACCCTAACTCGCTTCTATTCCTTCCCAAAATAAACATTACAAAATAAGGTGGCTGTGCCCTGAACTCAAAAAAGATCAAGCAATAAAGAGTCATCTCTGGCCTCTGTTTAGCTTTTCCTTTTTGTTTTTTAACCCTAATTTCTTTTTTTAAAAAAAAATAAATTCAATTCAATTAAGAACAAGTAATAAACATGTACAAGAAATTATAAGAAATAATGACCACGGTTAGTTACCCTTCTAATTTCAGCCTTGGTTCGGACATCTATTCCGGGATAATGACCATTCCTTTCAGGAACTGTGGGGCTGACTTTTAGGACAGCCTTGTTGGGAGGTCATCGTTGCCGTCTCCACACCCAGTGTTACTGCATTTCCTTTGTCACTTGATTTCCACAAAAAGGTTGAGGTCCCGCGCCCATCAGCACAAGTTTAAAACCAAGTCTGAAAACTCTGATAACACTACAGCTACTTTAGATGCCCGCAAGCGGCATGAAAAGGAACTGTATCGAATGGGGTACAGTCACTTAAATGGTCACCATCCCCAATTCTGGAATCACGAAGCCCGAAGGCCAGGGAGCCCCCGGTCGGGGGCGGGGACTCTTCCGACGGCCGCCACGCACCGACGCACCTCCCTCCCCTCCGTCCCCGCGGGCGGCCGTGGCCGGGAGCACCGGGCCTCTCACTCGGGCACAGGCGCCCACTCTGCCGGGCAGCAGCGGCCGAAGCAGCGCTGCCCCGGAGACGTCCCGCCGCCGCACGCCCTTCCTCCCGGCCCGGCCCGGCTCCCCAACCTCCGGGGCGGGGGCGCGTCCCCAGCGGGACGGCGGCAGCCCCGGACCGAGGTCGTTTCCGTCCACCGGAGGCCGTCGGTGCGCGTACCGGGTCGGGGAGCCGGCGCGGCCTCCGCGGAGCGAGTTTCCGGGGCCGGAGCCGCTCCCCGGAGCCTCGGGTGGAAGCGGGACGCGCCCCAGTCTGGGCGGAGGCCTCCGGGTCAGCGGGGCGGGGCCGGCTCGCGCTGGACGCGGCGGAGACAGAACCGGAACCGGAACCCCGCCCGCCCCGCCGCCGCGGCCTCCTCCGCCCGCCGCACGAGCTCCCGCGAGGCCTGGACTGGGAGGCGGCCGCGACCAGGGACCGCCGCGCGCAGGCCGGACGCTCCGGCCGCTCGGGAGCCGCCGCCCAGCCGACGGGGCGGGGCCGCGCGCCGCGGAAGAGCCGGCCGGGGCCGCGATGGGCGGCGGAAGGCGGCGCTGAGACCAGCGTCCGCGCCCGAGGCGGTGGGGCGGCGAGGAAGGCACAGCGACCCGGCCCGGGACATGGGGCCGCGCCAGCCCGGCGCCCGGGGGCCCGAGAGGCGGCGGAGGCTGCGGCCCCGAGCGCCCGGCGGCCCCCGATAGAGGCGGCTCCCGGCGGCGCCTGCTCCCCGCGCGGCCCTCGAGCTCGCTCCTCCCCGGCGGCCTCCCCTCCGCCTCGGCCGGTCCGGGCGACCTCCGGTCGGGCCCCCGCCGCGCCCCCTGGCCCCGCGGCCGCCCTCGATGCCGGCCTGCGGCTCGGAGCCGGCCCCGGTCGTCCCTCTCGGAGCCGGGCCTGGGCCCCGGCCCCGTAAGATGCCAGTTGGGTAGAAGCAGGACCTCTCGCCACGGCCCAATGAGCGGCTCACAGCCCACGACCACCGACAGGTTCGTCCGCGCCGCCGCCAGGCCCGGGCCGGCCACCGGGACGCGGGGGGAGGGCCCGGCCCGACCGGCCCCGGGTGGTGGCGCTGGGGAAGGTCGGCTTCGGGGGACGCTGCCGCGGGTTCCCGGGAGCGGCTCTCGGCCCGGGGCCCGGGCCTGTCCTCGCCCAGGAGCCAGAGGACGGTGGCGGCGGAGCCGGCGGGGAGGGTGCGGCGTCGCCCCCGCTCGTCCCGGCCCCGGAGCCCGAGCGGAGCGCCGGCCGGCGAACCATCGCGTCGGGACCGCCCTGCGCGGTGCCGGTCGAGGGCTGTCCGAACGTGACGTCACCGCATCACGGGCTCGGGGGGCCGGTGTCAGGAGCTGAAGAAGTGGGGGGCCCTGGGGCTGGACTGGAGTCATTGCACGTTCAGTGTTTCATCTCCCAGAACCCGAGCGAACCTGGAGGGAGCGCGGCGGGCGGACTGGCCGGGCTGCTGGCGGCGGGGATTGTGCTTTCCGTGCAGCACTCGTGGCAGTCTTTTGAATATTAATTAGGTCAAGGGATAGGCATATCCTTTTAATACATTTTATTTCTCAATTTTATTATGACTTTGTATCCTTGTCTGAGACTTCAGCTTGTTTTTTTTCCCCCAAGCAACCTTCAAACTATTATGTCATTAAAAAAAGAAAATAACCGAATTAGGGGGCCGATGAAAGCTCTTTGATGAAGGGTGCAATAGTGCTTCTGCAGAAAATAGTTGAGTTTCCTAAACGAGTTCCTCCTAATTGTAAGACTTAGTTGTTGATTTTAAAAGGGCCAAATGCCATTATCATACCATAACAGCTACTCCAGAAACAGAACTTCCTGTTCCTGTTGATGCTTCCCAGTGTCAAGTGAATGTTTACCTAAAAAGATACCATTAAACATTTAAACTATATTTATTTTTAGATTGCATGTCTTAAAAAATATGTTTTAGTTTTCAATGAAATGAAGTAATTTTCAACTTTTTGAGAGCGCACGTAACAGGAGTAGCCACGCTTACCTTGATTTCTCTGGTTGTCCTCCTTCCCTTCAGGGAGTTTTGCTTCTGAGAAATCGGTTTCACGGGGTGTGGGTGATTGTCCTCCTGGCTGGCTCAGTTCCCTCCCACTCTGCTGAGCCCGTAGGAAGAAGTCTTATTAGGAACTAAGGTAGTTACTTGGTGGTTTTCATTGTGATCAGAGGGGTGTTTAATTTTGTAGAGACAGATAGAGAGTCATCAATTCATTCCACACAAAATCACCCACAAGCCCCTACTTAATGACCTTTCTTCGTCTTTGCTTCTCAGAGATTTTTCTTACTATTTCCATTATCTTGGAAATAGAATCTTGGGATTTGTGCCCTTTCTATAACGTAGATGAGCTATAAATATACAATAAGCATGCAGCTAATCGATGCCCGTTCTTTGCCAGGCACTGTGGTAGGCCCACAGGGTAAAAGATGAGGATTCTAAGTATAAGATGAATCTGCAAATCCGTTTGTATAGTAATATCTTTGAATTGGTTCAAGTGCCGCCTGATTTTACATATTTTTTTAAAAGAAAAATAACACCCTTGAAAGTCACTTAATTTAAGACGCACTACTGAGACAGTATGGAAACCTGTTTCTTAGAAATTTACTAACAGTTTTTTGAAGTAAGAATTATTCTTATGTGACCATTACTTGTTCTTTAAGCATATTCTATAAATATCTAGCATCCATTGGCTCTTTGGAGAGGAATTGCCCCTGACCTGAATGTGTGTTGGGGTGAAACACAGCTTTGATGCTCTGTCTGTGCCAGGATGCCTTAACAGCCTTCTGGAATCGTTCCTACCTTCTGCTCAGCCCTGCCTGCCTCATCCTCTTGCTTACTCACTGCAGTGCACTGGAGGTATGCCTTGCTGATTCCAGAGCTGTTGGCACGGTTAGTAGTGCCAGTGTAGCTTTTAAAGATCCTTTCAAGTGTGAAGTATTGTTACAAGGTCTGGCTTTGCTTTGTAGGGTGTGCAGACCCGCAGGCCAGCTGTGGGAGTTTGAGCTCTTGCACTGCGGACTGGAGTCTGTCTGTCCTTAGTTGAATTCAGACGGGCTGGCTTTGGAGGTTACTCTTTTGCAGTTGGTGGCAGAGGACACACGGCTGAACAAGATAAGAAAGTTTTATTCTTACGCATTCGGGAAGTGCTGGGGCTGGGATGGAATTCAGCTGTGTTTAGGCTGTGGATTGGTCACTTTGGACGCTCAGAACTGACATCCTGTTACTATTTTGCAGTTAAATTTATTTACTCTCTTCCTCCTTTTCATCTCCCCAAACCTCCCATCCCCCTTTTTTAAAGGCATCGTCGTCAATTAAAAAACCCAAACTATGTTTATGGTACTCTTTGTTTATAGACTATCTGAACAGCTTAAAGACATGTATAAGTGGGGGACCTTCCAGTCTCTTGCTTTGCAACTTCTGTGAGACCTGGAGACTGTAGTTTTCATCTTTTAGAATCAGCACTTAAAAAGTGGCAGGAATATCTGATTGCTGCTTTTCAGTTTGCATTGATTACCGCATTCCCAATCCTCTTAGGTTGAATTCAGGGCTTCTATGGCAATTGGAATTTCTTCTGAGAAATAGAAAAGAATGATTTTCCGTCGACTCAGTAAATGATTTCAGGCTAGGTTCTAGAACAGGGGTGGGCAAACTTTTTGACTCGAGGGCCACAATGGGTTCTTAAACTGGACCGGAGGGCCGGAACAAAAGCATGGATGGAGTGTTTGTGTGAACTAATATAAATTCAAAGTAAACATCATTACATAAAAGGGTACGGTCTTTTTTTTTTTTTTTAGTTTTATTCATTTCAAACGGGCCACTGGCCCGCGGGCTGTAGTTTGCCCACGGCTGTTCTAGAACAATGAATTTTTAGGGGACAATACAGGTAGGATTTTGTTATAAGGGTCTTCCTTGAAACAAATGGACTTTTGTCTTGGACTTATGGATTTTGTTGTTTTGATTTAGAGATAAAGACAGGTTTTTGAGGTATTGGGATTTTCTTAGTGTGAGTTCAGCTTTATGCTTATTTAATTTGAGTAAACTTTAAAAGTGAATGTGGAAACCTGTGACTTTATATGCATATATCCAGTAATTAGCATTTTCATTCATGATACTTTTTCTGCCATATAATGCTCTCTATAATGCTCTTGATTAGAAAACAATCCAAAAAAATACTTTGTGCTATTTTGAAGATTGCCTGAGCCATCTGCAAGGTGAAATTATTTGTAGTATTTACTTATAAAGTCAGTCATTTGATAAACACAAGATTGAAATTGGGAATCAATCCCAGTTATGTTGTCTTTTCTAATATAAAATCATGATTCATGTAGGTCTGCAGTAGTACATTCACTTGTTCAATTCTACACGAGAAACATGTACCATCCAAATTAAATTTTAAAAATACAGAGCTGTAATCTTCCTGGTAAATGGCACACTTATTAGATGTTCATATTTATTCAATGAAATGACAGGAGAAGCTTTATTTGAATCAATACACAAATATGTTAACTTGGCAATACTGCATAACACATTCTTGGTTTCCAGTTGTATATAACAATGTTGAGTTAACGTCGAATTTTTTAAAAACTAAGTTTGAATTTTCAATTTAAAAATTAAATTTGAGGCAAACATTGACGGAATCCATAAATAGTGTGTTTTATAAATTTTTATGTGGAGCATTGTGGGTCCTGGGAAAAATCAATAATAATAAAAGCGTAATATACTAATTAGACCGGATGTTCTTCTGGATGTCCTTCCAGACGGCCTGCTGGACAAAGCCAGGGCTGCGAGGGAAGCTCAGGTCCTGAGTACCTGCCGGTGGGTGGCTGGAAGGAAGCCCAGTCCCAGGTGCCGGAGGGAAGCCCGGGTCCTGGGTGCCAGAGGGAAGCCAGTGCTGGCAGCCGGGGAACGGAGGGCCTACTCTTGCACGAATTTCGTGCATCGGGCCTCTAGTCTTAATAATAAAAGGCTCATATGCAAATGGTTGTCATGCTATGATGCTGTAACGACCAATCAGCAGGGACCTGAGGCTGTGTGGCACCAGGCTGGGGTGGGGAACCTGAGGCTACACCCCCCACCCCAGCGAGGCTTGACGGGAGAACCTGAGGCCATGTCCCTGACCCCGGCACTGTGGCCAGGGGACCTGAGGCTGGGCCGGAAGACCTGAGGCTGTGCCCCCCGCCCCAGTGGGGCTTGACAGGGTGGGGCCAGCCGGGTCTGGGTCTCGTTCAGTGGGGGTGGAGCCGGCCGGGTCTCAGTCTGGCATGATTTCAAGGTGCACGTGGGTGGGCGGGGACTTGACTCTGGGTCCCACAGCGCACCCCAAACTCTGACAGGGGGGAGATTTCCATGTACATTTTACTAATTTTCTTTCATCTCTGACACTTCTATTATAAAGGGCAAATAGCAATATTAAAATATTTCCTCTAATTAATTCCCTTTTAATTCGTGCACCAGGCCACTAGTCTTTGCATAAACACACGTGGTTGCCTCTTCTAAAAGCCATCTAGAAATTGGTATTAGTTGTCTGCCAAACTAACATCGGTCACAGAACCAGCAGGATGTTTTAATGTTTTTTATTCAGAGATAATTGGAGGAACTCTTTTACATCTTAGTTGTCTGACAAAGTTACTGAAAATGTTTCTTATCATATAATTTCTTACCTCCTAGAAATTGACCATGCCATATTTTCAGGAATAGGGAGTTTAACTTTATTTGATCTCATCCGTTAAAACTTGGTTTTGATAATATTTTAAGGTTTCATGGGAAGACATGCTCCTTTCCCTTTTAATAATTAAGAGTCTTCAAAATAGTGGTATTTAATTTTAAGTATTATATCTCCTTTTGAGTAAAATACCCTCATGCATGTACTGATACCCTGTCATTCTTTAGCATTTACAATGTTTTCGACTCAGTGTGGAGCAGATCACCACTTTAGGCAGCTCATAAAGTTTAAGTCAAGTTATAAAACTA